TTGACTTAAATCGGATCATTCTAACTATGCTAAATAAAGCCTTCAATTTTATGCAAAAATAATGGATTTCTTTTTACTACACCTTATATTACAAACATACATGTGACAATGCCACAGGAGATACCTGCAGTATCAAATAGTATTTTATGTTTTGACATTGAAATATATGTCTACAAATTCAATTAAAAGCAGTTTAGGTTTAAATAACCACCTTTGCTTTCATTATTCTATGCAATTCATTACGTTACCCTTATAGAAATATCATACTAAGAATAATTGATAATTACTTATTATCCAGTATTTTTAATACTGAAAATAAATAATTATCAATGATTCTTAGTATGATATTTCTATAAGGGAAGAATTGGCACGATCATTGGGAGTGACTTAACAAGCCATTTCAAAACGTCTCAAAGCCATGGGAATGATTCAGAAGTAAGGAAATTGAGTGTCGTACGAATTGAAGCCGAGAGATGTTGAATGGTGTTTATTTGCTTGTGAACAGCTGCTTGAAAGGCAAAGACGGAAAAGATTTCTGTATCGCATTGTGATTGGGGACGAAAAATGGGTTCATTACGATAACCCCAAGCGCAGAAAATCATGGTGAGTTCCCAGCCATGCTTCCACGTTGACGGCCAAACCAAATATTCACGGCTCCAAGATCATGCTCTGTATTTGGTGGGACCAGCTCGGCGTAGTGTATTATGAGCTATTAAAACCGACTGAAACAATCACAGGCGATCGGTATCGAACGCAATTGATGCGTTCAAGCATTGAAAGACAAACGGCCGCAATACAACAAGAGACACGATAAAGTGATTTTGCAGCATGACAATGCTCGACCCCATATTGCGAAAGTGATCAAGACATACTTAGAAACCACAGATGTCTATACTAGTACTAGATCGCTAACTTCGTCAAAAGAGGTGTGACCGGCAGGATTTCCGGTTTCAACCATGACACCCTACAATAAAATGGCGGCGGTACGCGTGTGATGTGTATATCTGTCATGTGCATGCACATGTGATACCCGACGTGGTGATACAAAAAAAAATTCTTGAAAGATGCCTAGCTGTTGTTGCATTCCAAAATGCAAAAATACCACAAAAGATGGTTTTCATTTATTTAGGTAAGTAAAATGTATTTATTTATAATTCGAGTTTTGTAATATTTGAAGATTATGTTTCAGTTAAAAATGTAAATATTTCAGGTTTCCGTTAAATCGTCCGGATATTTTAAAAATGTGGATTAATGCCATTGGAAGAGTCGGTTTTGAACCCAACAAATATCATTTAATCTGTAGTAATCACTTAATCTTAGTGCTCACTTTATTTTATGGAACAGATTTTATGGATAGACTTAATACAAGTGGCGTACGTTTAAAAAATTTTGCTGTACCTTCGATATTTTGTGAAACTTCTGTTCCTACCGTTAATTCTATTAGGTGCGCAACTAAGTTCCCGCTGTTTGTCAATAGATGGCTCCAGCAGTAAGTGCTGGTCGATTTTGACATATCCAAAACGTCATGAACCAAGCACATTTAAGTAAGCCTACTAAAATGCACAAAGAAATGCTGCAAAAGATATGCTATATCAAACAAACTGATTGAATAAAGGCAAGCTTCAATTTATGCAGCTTTGTGCAAATAATGTGTAAAATATTTAAAATTATAAAATTATATACATTTTATTAATGTGAATTGTATAAACATTGAATTGTACATTTAATTAGAACAAAGAATCTTCTTGAGAGAGATCCAAGTGAGATTATAGCTAACAATTTTGATGCAAGCATTAGCAAACTATTCCAAAATGAATGGATCAATAAAAATAGAAATAAGAAAGGTTGTTGATATAGCGATAAAATAAAAAAATTTGCTATAACTTTACATTTTTATTCGCCGAAGGCTTATAATTATTGCAGATATATTTCTCAATTGTCATTGTTATTTATAAGATTTTTAAATTAATGTTAAAGATTACATATTATTATTAAAAATATTAAATATT